TTTAGTATTATAAGAATATTTATTTAATTTTATTTATTATTATTTTAAAATTTGCTATAGGGCACATTCACTCACCAGAAGGAGACAGGGAGAGAGAGAGGGAAAGTAAGAAAGAAAACCTCAAGGTCTGGAACCCAAACCAAGGTTGGCCCTGTATCAACAAAGCGATTCTGTGCAAAAAGAGTAAAGTAGGGGGCATTCTATTACTTAACATTAAAATATATTACAAAATGGTAAACATCAGAAGAGCATGATACTGCACAAAAAAATACACAGAAACCAATGGAACAGAAATGTAATCCAGAGATAATTCCAAATAATACGGTCGAAAAATACAAGACAATGCAGTGGAGAAAAAAATATATTTTCAGGAAATGGTGTTGTAAGACCTGAATCTCCACATGTAAAAAAAATTTTAAAAAAATGTCATAATGGATCAAGATTTCAATGTAACATTTCAAACTATTAAAGTATCAGTTAAAAAAAAGTTAGGTGAAACTTTTAAAAACATTGGAATGGGCAAAGATTTTTTTAAACAAGACCTGTAGGCACAGGCAATAATCCCAAAAAGTGACTAGTGAAATTACATCAAACTAAAAACGCTTCTGCACAGCAAAGAAAACTGATAGAGTGAAGAGACAACTCTCAAAATTGGGAGGGAAAATGCATTTTATTCAATATAAATGAGGCATTGATAACCAGAATGTATAGAGGGAAAACAAGAAGAAAATAATCCCATTTAAAAATGGGCAAGTGATCTGAACAGACAACTCTGCAAGGGAGAACAGTAATGACCAAAATGCACATAAAGAAACATTCCACGTCTCTTATCATAAAGAAAACGCAAATCAAAACCACAATGAGATACTGCTTAACCCCAGATAGAATGGCTGGAATCTAAATAAATAAATAAATAAAATAAAGAATGACAAGTGAGTAGTTGACATGAAAATATTTTCCCAAAAATATTTAAAATCATACTGTCTCTGTTGTTATAGAGTCACAAACAAAATTATACAAAATTATAATATTTTGAACATTATCTTTAAAATTTAGTATTTTGGAATTTTGAAAGTTGTTTATTAACTGTCAAGAACTATGGCGTATGAGCAAAATTTTTTTGATATATAAAGTAAATTTTTGTGGGAAAATGTAAAAATAAATAAATAAATGAAAAAATAAAAGTTTAAAAATGACAAGTGCTGGTGAGTCTGTTGTGGAAAGGGAATTCCCTTACACTGTTGGTGGGAATGTAAATTAATACAACCCCTGTGGGAAACAATACAGAGTTTACTCAAAAACCCACAAATAGAACTACCATATGACCCAGTAATTCCATTCTTAGATATCTACCCAAAGGATAGGAAAGTATTCAGAAAGACATTTGCACATCCATGTTTATTGCAGGATTATTCACAACTGCTAAGACACAAAGTCAATCTAAGTGTCCAAGAACTGATGTTTGGGTTGGAAATCTGTAGCACATACGTATTACGAGATGCTACTCGACTATAAGGAACAATGAGACCCTGTCATTTGATTCAAAGTGGATGAATACGGAAGACCTAATGGTAAGCAATGTAAGAAGACTGACAGATAGGCACTGTGTACCCCTGCTCAATATACACTAAATGTCTGCACTCTACAGCAGAAATGGATAGATCCAAAGATATGATAGCAGGGAGGATAAGAGTAGATGCCAAAGACTATAAGGAAGGAGAGTGGATGGTAGAGGGTTTGGGGTGGCCAAAGGAACGAAACGCTTGACAAAAGAATGTAAAGTTCTCTGTTAAAAGTGATGTACATGGTAATGGCCTTGATTTGGTTGTCATGTACTACATGCATACCTTGGAAAAACACGTTGTATGTTGCAGAAAAGCACAGTGATGAAATGTAAATAAAATTTTAAAAGGATTTTACAATAAGAACTAGGATTTATGCCAGTAATGAAAGGTTGGTTCAATATTTGTAAATCAATCAATGTAATGCATTAAATATTAAAATGGGAGGGGAGAATCACGTGATTATCTCATAGATGCAGAACAAGTATCTGACAAAATCCAACATCATTTTATAATAAAGTAGGAATAGAAAGTAAGTCTCTCAATATAATAAATGGCAACCCTAAAGAACCCAAAGCTTGCACCCAATGTAGTGATGTCTGAAGACTGATAGGTTTACCTCTAAGATCAGAGACAAAAGAAGGATATCTACTCCCAGAATTTCCATTCAACATTTTACTAGACATTATAGCTAAAATAGTTAGGCAAGAAAAATAAATATATAGTGCCCGTATGTGAAAGAAGCAAAACTATCTCCATTTACATATAACATAATCTTATATACACAGAAAATCTTAAAGAATCTTTTCTAACAAGTTAGAATTAATCGAAGAGATCAGAAAAGATGCAGATTATAAATTCAAAATACAAAAATTTGAGTTAGGAAAATGTGGCAGCTCAGCCTGGTTCTGGAAGCATAATTTATGGGAGACTCCACTGTCTTTGGCTCCTTTCAGCATGACTCCAGGAAATCAAGTCAAAAGCCTGGACCTGAAGAACATTAGGGCTACACTTCCTATTGCATCTTTCTCTCCCACAGGCCTCCAAGAGGGCATTTTGCCCCCTTGTTGTTTCCTTGCTTGTTCAATTCTAGGAGACAAAAGCCCTATGTACCTAGAACCAAGTCATTGTCAGATTGTAAGACCTTAATCACATGGCAATGCTTCAGTGACAATCTCAGGCACTAAAAAAGTGAAATTCTTTTATTTCCCAATTTAAAACACACAACACACAGAAAACAGAATTTTTAAAATGTCGAGAGCACAAAAAGAATATGGAACCAGCACATCTAGCATTGTTGCTTCCATATGTGATATCTTTTTTAATTAATTTATTTATTTACGTTTAATCGCATCTTTACAGTGTACAACATTTCTTTTTCCAGAACAAATACTATGCATGTCAGTCAAGCCAAAGATATTACTCTGTAACTTATCAGCAAATAGCTTCTCATTTTTTGTCAATTAAGCATACTTCGACTTTTTTCCTTCCCCCTCTCTCCCTTCCATACTAAACATTTTTCCATATTTTATTGAGTCACAAAATATGTTAAACTAAAAATATGGACAAAGCTAGACTCTAGTCACAAGTGTCCTGTAATTTACTTTTGAAATATTTTTTTCCGAAAGTTTTTTTAACTTAATTTACATTCATTCCCTAAGCATCATCACAACATACAAAATGTGATTTCTCATCCATAATATACTGCATAGTGGTTTAATCATGCATGCTATTGTCAAAAGTTTTCCATTTCTAGTTTCATATCTGATCTGATATGTCTGATCTGACCCTCTGTCCTTTCCCACCCTCTCCTCACACTATCTCTAATGTCTACAGTTGTCATCCATTCCTTTCCTCCCCACATTGTATTGATCACAAAATTTCTTAAATAATCTAATTACTTTCAATAGCAAGTTCACTTGGTAATTTCAAGAAAAGCAGTTTTAATTTAAATCAAAGAAATGCTAAGGAACTTTGCTTAAAACTTAAAGCCAGGAAACAGGTTACAATTCTGATCAAATGATAGGTGCATGAACCTATCCATATCTCAAGACAGGACACAAATCCTTAAAATCAGACAACAAAGCCTAGAAGAAAATCAGCAATGTTTTAGTCAAAAGTCATAAAATTCTATTTCACCAAATCAGTCTCATGCACTTTATCTTCTGTTGTCATTCCATTTTCCTGATTAAATTCTAGGATATAATATTCAACTCCAGACTTGTCCCTATGATTAAGTTGGCCACTTTCTTAGTTTTTGAACTCTTATTTCTGTGTGACTGTATTTAATTCTCCTGGTACAGCACTCCCTTGAGAACTTCTTGGAGATCTGTTCGGGTGCTGGTAAATTCTTTCAGGTTTTGTTTATCTGAGAATTTTCTTGTCTTTTCTTCCCACATGAAGGATAATCTTGCCAGGTACAATATTCTTAGTTGAAATTGCTTTTTCCTTAACATTTTGAATATATCTTCCCATTCTTTCCTCACTCACATTGTTTCCGATGAGAGATCTGCTGTTATCCTGATGGAATATCCTTTATAGGTAACTTGATATTTTTCTCTTGCCAATCTTAATATCTTCTTTGTCTGTGGTTTTGGTCAATCTGGCTATAATGTGTCTTGGAGAAGATCTTCTTGGGTTGATTCTGTTTGGGGTCCTTTGTATTTCTTGAAACTGGATCTTTGAGTGCCTCTCTAGGTTTGGGAAGTTTTCTTGCAGAATTTCATGGAATAGATTATCAATGCCCTTATGAGTCTCTTCATCTTCTGGGATACCAATTATCCAGATGTTTTGATGTTTGATGGTATCTAGTATTTCTAGTATATTATTCTCATTTTGGGGGGCCATTTTCTCAGTCTTCATGGTCAATTTTTCTAGGCCAGCAATTTTCTTTTCTATGTCTGAGATTCTATTTTCTGTATGATCTAGTCTGCTTTTAATACTTTCAAGGGAGATTTTGACTTCCTATATTATAGCCTTCATCTCTAACAGTTCCATTTGATTCTTTTGTAAAGTGTATAATTCCTCTTTTAGATCTTGCAAGAATTTCCTCACCTCCTGGAACTTGTCAGCTCTTTTCTCCTTTCTCTTCTGCAGTTCATTGTCTCTCTTCTCTTCCATCTCTGTTAGCTTCTCCATTATGAATGTTCTAAATGTTTTATCAGAAATTTCCATGATTTCCATTAAACTGTCTGTAAATGAAGAGAAGTTATTCTTTTCCCTTAGAAGAGAGGTATTTTCTTGCTTTCCCACATTCCTTGTGGCCCTGCAGTGATTTCTAGTCATCTGATGGATGATGTGTTTCTTCCTAATTCTTGAAGTTCCATCTGAATGTTCAGGAGCAAGCAGAGAGAGATGATTTGGAATCTCTTTGCCATTCTGTTGTGATTGCTTTGTGCAGCAAAATCAGTAGATATTGAGGAATACTTTAACCCTAATAGTATTTGGATGTTTGGCTATGGTTCCTTAGATCCATCACTCAAGCTTGTGGACTAGAGGCTGAATTATCAATAGGAAATCTTCATTTCTCTTTTACCCTGAAATCACTAGTTCCCAGGAGCCATGAGGAGTCTTCTTCTCCCTTATGTAATATCTTAAAACCAAAAGCAAGAAAATCTTCTCATCATAAGTTTTGGATGTTCTTCTGAGTTAATAATTTCACTCTGGTGATTTATAATTCTTTTTTGTGTGTCCTGTTTTCTCCTTTCCGACTTCCTAAGCTCCACCTATTCTAACTGCCTCTATCTTGGTTTCATGGCCCTCAGATTTAGACCTATAGTTGTAGTCCCATGTCTATCTAAACTTCATCCTCAAATCAAAATCCCAGCTTTAACTTTCAAGAACTAATCCACTCCTTGAGTAAGGAATCTCATCTTTTTGGGGGATCATTGCTAAGGTGCCAGATGAAATAACATATGCAAGTTCAGTGTAAAATAAGCAGTTCAGGTCCCGGAAGCAACACCTGCTTTCTTTAAATGCATTTTATGTCCATATTATCCTCTGCCCAGATGCTCTCTTCTATCCTGAAAGGAGAAATCAGGCGATGGGAAAAGGCAGTTTTCAACAGTATTGAAGCCCCACTGTACCATAAAGTATTACTGTGAAGAGTCTGGTAGTTTGGGTTAAGTGTTCTTTATTTGCCAATACAAAGGCTTGCTGTCCAAGAAACAAGAACTACATAAGGTGACTGGCCCTGGACAGTTAGCATCTACACTGGGGATATGTTATGTGTGACCTCTAAATCCATCCATGCCTACCACATGCACCACACCTGCTTCAAGCACTTCTTTACAGCCTCTGTGCCTCCACATAAACAGTGTAGAAAGTTGTTAACATTCAATGCTCAGTGGAAGTATCCATTGATGACTTCAGGACTCTGCAAAATGAGTGAAATTTGACCAAGTTAACTTGGGGAGTGGTGGGCTGGTTCTGTGCCTTAGTGGTTAAAGCAGCCAGATCCCACACGGCCCCTCTAGCACCTAAACCCCAGACTCAGAGGCTTAAGAAACATGCTGGATGCATGTGCATGTGTGCCCAAAATCTGTAAAGGAGGAAGAGATAGAGGTAAAGGGGTTGTGGTGTAACCATTACCGATGGTGGTGGTGGTGGTGGGGGGTGCTCCTCTTCTTCCTCTTCTCTGTTTCTTTCTGGTCAGCGCATATGCCATCTAGAAAGAAAATGGGGATGTGCACAGAAGTGTGTTTCTCTGTGCACTAAGAGTAAAATGGAGCTAAGTGATACTAAGAATTATATAGGATTTTTAGAATAGCAAGAGGACAAACAAAATTGTCATATTTCCTTATCCCAAAAACCAAAGTGTCCTGAAGACAGAGATTTTGTTATATAATGTTGGAGTCCCAAGTAAAGAACAACTACCAATTCATATCATTGCAGTAACAACTGGGCTTAAAATAAATTGTTGCTAATTTGGCTACCACTCCATGGGTTTCTCTGAGATTAGGCCCAGAGCTCAATAGGTCTCAGGTGAACTTGGAGAATTTCTCCTGCTCCCAGGACACAGAAATCCTAGCGCCTCCTTACTGTCCTTCAGATCCTGATATGAACTCCAAATAAGAATTCTTCAAGATGGGTCCTAAATGCTAAGGGGGTCTAAATATTACAAGGTGTTCAGCAATTGTTTGCTGACTAGAGTTATGCATGTACTCTATGTTCTTGGAGAAACAACAGCTGAACCTTTAAGTGTTTATTTTTGAACTAATGGTGACTTGTGCCAACCATTCAAAACTAGTTTCAATTGTTTATCTGCATAAAGGACCTAAATGGGAACTTGGTGGAGAAAATTTACCCAGCCTCCCAACTCTGTTCCAGGGAAGGGTACTTTTGGTTTATACTAGAGGTTATGTGTTACTAGTTTTGCACTTGTTACTGAAATAAAGTCTTCTTTATCCCCAAATCTGTTTTCAGAATAATTTGTCCACACTGAGAAAAGCCTAAAGGAGTTCCGAGTGTCCTCATTCCTGTAAGTCTCTATGATGAACTATCTAGCATCCCCCAAAACTTTATCCCAATCCTCAAGGTCTACTGGATTCTAGAACTCTGCAGAAGCTCACCACAGCAATGAAGGGGTCCCGTGGGTGGTCTCTTGGGAAGGGAAATCAAAGAGGCTACCATTGTCTGTAAAATCCCAAGTACTCCCTGAAAAAGCATGTAAGCTAGGGTGACACTCTTTTTCTGCTGTCCCCTCCCAAGAGAGCCCTCAAGGGACATTGAGGATAAAGAGAAAATTTTGAGGTGCATGTTATTAATGGTAAAAACAACATGGAGGTAACACTCAGTGTCTAAGCATTTGGATAAATATTGCTTGTGTTCCTCTGTTGGGCTGAAGAATCAGGCTCAACTCCCACAGCAACCCAAGCCTTCTGAAGGAACAATGTAGAGTTTCCACCTTGCAAGAAGAGTGTGATCATTTAGCCCAATAGTGGTACAGAAGCCACCTTATATCCCACAACATGTTACTTAATAATTATACATTGTAAATTCCTAACATGCTGTAACGGAAACAGGAAGACTCTGCTATAATTTCTTTTAAGTTTTCATTCTCTTGTGTTGTTTCAGAAGAGAGGCAGAAAAAAGAAACTGGGGGCACCTCCAATAGGGTCTTCAAGCTATTGGACCTCTACCACTAGCCTCATCTAGCTCGAATGATGGGTACACGCACAGTGTGCACAGGGAGACCCAGGACGCAAACCTGGACCTTCCAATATGGCCCAACCATTGCAGTGCAATGCTATATGACCAAATCTGGCCTTTATTGTAGCTCTTAACAGTTGAATTAAGAAAATAAATCCCCCTTCCATCTTTAGCCTGGCCCTCTGCAGGTCAAGAACCGGGGGAAAGAAACAGGTTCATAGATCCTCTTCCACATATTCCTGCCAGGGCTCATGCAGCTCCCAGAGACTATAAGGGATGGACTTTCCAGCTGGTCCTTCTGTCACCAGCCCAGCCTTGTGCAGGCTCCAGAGCCAGAGAAGAAGGGGCAGGATTGCAGAACATTCTCCACATAGTCCTACAAGAACCTGCACAGCTCCCAGAGACAGTAAGGGATCAGGGCTTTCTGGCTTATCCTTCCATGGCCATTCTGGTCCTCTGCAGGTCCCACAGAAAGAAAGGAGAAGGGCCACCAGGCCTGTGCATCAGATGTGACACACGATTTTACCTACCATCTTAGAGTTCAATTCCTCAAGTCAGTGCTCAGCAATATCAAAACTAGAAAATTTTGAAAACAAGAGGAAAACTTGTGTGAATTTAAAGTATACTATAGAGGACTGCACAAACATATAGCCACTGAAACCTACCCCAACAATTAGGAGGAAACAAGTGCCTCCCCAAGTGTCTAGAAAACAAACCAGAACCTCAAGAATTAGGTGAAAAACAGGAAGTTTATTTCCCTCCAAAGAATATATCAACTCCTTAGAAAAAAAGAAATTACAGAAATGACAGTAATAGAATTCAAAATAGTTATTGAATAAAACTCACTGATATACAAGAGAATGGACAACCAATTTCTAGAGATAATAAAATCATCTTATGACATAAAAGAGACATCTCATAAAGAGATACCTTAAAAAAGAATAAGGCAGAACTTCTGGTAATGAAAATGATCATGCAAGAAATCAAAGTCTCCTTTGAAAGCATCAGCAGCAGAAAGGGGCACACAGAAGAAGCTCTGACCTGGAAGAAATAGCCTTTGATTTAATGCAAACTGTGGAAGAAATAATTTAAAAAATAGAAATGCTAGACACCATTAAATATATTTGTATAATGAGAATTCCAGAAGGCAAAGAAGCTGTTAAAGAAATAGAAAACCTCTTTTAATGTGTTTCTGGATAATGGACATTATTGGAAGAGAAGGTGAAATTTGAACTGGGTCTGTAGATTAATTGATGGCATCATGTAAATGTTCCATTTCCTAATTTAGATAATTATATTATGATTATGTGAAACAATGTCCTTGTTCCTAAGAAATATACAGTGAAGTGTTTAGGGATAAAAAAAAATAGGAGAAGAAAACCTCTTTCATGAAATACTGTCTGAAATCTTTCCAAATCTAGAGAAACAAAACCATATGAATTTAGGAAGCACAAAGGATACCAGATAGAATAATCAAAGCTAAGAATAGCCTCTCCATGGCACCTCATTGTCAGGTTGGCAAGAATTAACAACAAAGACAAGATTGTAAAAATGTATAGACAAAAGCTTCAAGTCACATACAAAGGCTGTCCTAATATCAGACCTTTCAACCGAAATAATACAGGCAAGGAACACATGGAAAGACATATTTATTATTATTATTATTATTATTATTATTATTCATACATTCAATTGCTATACATCATTTAGATCGTAAAGAAAATTTATCCAGCATGAAATATCCCTCAGACCAGTCCAGTTGAGAATTAAACCCTAAAAGAAAAACAATTTCAATCAATAGTACCATATCATATCAGAGTCCTCTGATCGATATAAGACAGAATAGATTTTAAGGCAAAAACTGTAAGAAGAGACAAAGAAGGACACTATATAGTACTAAAAGGGCCTATCCACCAAGAAGATATAACATTTATAAACACTCAACTATGGAGCACCCAAATACTTGAAAGACAGCTACATGTAAAAAAGAGATAACTTCTGCACCCTTTGGGCATGGCAGAGGGAGAGGTAAACTAAGATTTCATTTTCAAGAGGGAAAGTCCTTCAGACCCACCGGCACCCCACAGGCCTGTGTGAATCCACCCTCACCCCATACAAATAGTGCATGAAAACAATGTGGTAAAGCATCTTAAAGTAGAGAATGAAGAAAGTGGTCAAGATTTTTCAGAGAAACCATCTTCTTCAATGGAAGGAAATTGTTTGGAATTTCAAGAAAGTTTCAAACACATAGACAGTGAATTTGAAGAAAATGCACATTTGAAAAATGACTTAAAGAATATCAATACAAGCGAATCAAAATCATTTGATACAGCTGCTCTCCAAAATAATTTTTTGAGAGGTTTTTGCTACAGGGCGCGTGCGCTCACCAGAAAGACAGAAAGACAGTGAGACAGAAAGCGAGAAATCACCCCCTAGGGAGGATAGCCATGCCACAATCCCCTCTCCTCCATTCTCCTCAGTATCTTGGGCATGCATGCACATGCGCCCGGCATGAGTTTAAGCCACTGGGTCCAGGACTTGAACTGCAGTCAACTACATGGGAATTCAGTGACATAGTCATTATGCTAATTTTTTGAAGGAGAGTTGTCCTAAACAAGTGTGAGTTGAAGATAAAGCGAAATTGGTGAAACAGATTCAAGAGAAAGAAGACCATCTTCAGAGGCTAAAACTGGTCAAAATGTATAGATCAAAGAATGATCTGTCTCAATTACAGTTTTTAATAAAGAAGTGGAGAAGTTGTAGCCAGCTGATACTTTATGAGTTGCAGTCAGCCATGTCTAAAGAGAACAAGAAACTAAGCCTTACTCAACCAGTAGACCATTATGGGTTAGATGGTAAATTGCACACTATAATGGAAGTGATAAATTGCACACTATAATGGAAGTGAAGAAGAATTTTTAAGTGTTTAATTCATAAGTTTTTCTCCAGAATATCTTTGACAACTTAATTAAGAGATACACATTTTAAAGAGAAGATAACTATTAGGGCTTAAAGGAAGGTAACCTGATGGACATGATTTTAGGGCACGCTTACACAAACTCAGTTCTAAATGGAAACAATATTTTGGATAGATTTGC